CCCTACAGGCCACCAGTAGGCCCCCAAAGGCCCCCAGGAAGCCCCAAGCGGCCCCGAAGGGGCTTCCAGGGAACGCCCAAGAGTCCCCCCAACACACCCTGACAAATCATGTCTCCAGTAAGCCTTCTGGGGACATGGTCCATCATGGGCCCGAGAGTCTCCGGAGGCTCCGAAGTACCATCACGCTACAGGAGAGTTGTCTGGGAAGTTGATTGGGAACATGACTGATCGCGTTCTCTGCCGACGTCTGCCGACGACGAAGGCGACGACGGCCGCGGCGGCGAAGAAGACGACGCCGAAATTCGAACTTCGACGTTCGAAACTGTTGTTCGGCGCTCTGTGCCTTCGGGGGCCGTTCGCGGGCCCTCGGGTCTTCGGGCTTCGACCTGGAGTGGAAAACTGCGCTGGATGGATCCCGGGAGGGGTCCCGACGACGACGACGACGAAGACGCGGAAACGACGAAGGCGAGGACGACAACGGCGACGACGAAGGCGCGCCCCAAGAGGCGACGGCGACGATACGACGGCGACGACGGCACGCCAGAACAGGCCTCCCGAAGACGCCCCCGAACACCATGTTCCCAGAAGGCCTTCCGGGAGCCCGATTCGTCAGGGCTCTGCCCCCGTTCGCCGCGATCGTCCCCGAAGGCCTCCGGGAGTACGCATTGGCACGTGTGGACTTCTTTTTGCTGCCCGTGGTGCGTTCAGCGTCATGAGCACTTCTTCATTTCCCGTTCAAGCCATCTGTGGTCCATTACTTCAGTGGAGCAACGATATCGTCAATGCGTGGTTCTAGTAGGTTACACATATGGGCGCACGCGCGTATCACTGCCCCTTCTTTCCTTTGGCGTAGAAGGGGACTCTCTCTCTCTCTCTCTCTCTCTCTCTTATCCTTATTCCTTATTAGAATATACTCCTACTCCCCCCTCAGGCCGGCCATTAGGGGCCGCATCCGGGGGGTCCCATCCCAACCTGTAAAAAACAATACAAAATCAACATTTTTCTTATTTTTTCCTCTCGACATGGACGTCCTGTCGTCCACGGCGATAATCCATTGCAAAAAATACCACAAAGAGCACACGCGCGCGTTCATGTCAGAATCCTACCGAACACCGTGTGTTTGCAAGCATTTCAACATAAAAACATCAAAAACCCAATGCTTTTTCACAAAAATTGTACAAATTTCCCGCCCGGGCTCTCTTGCTGAAATCATAGGAAAACCATAGGAATCTTAAGAATTCGGTCAAATCCAGCGATTTCACGTCATCGCGCGGTGCACTCGCGATGCTCTGTCATGGACCCAGGCCGCGAATCCTGTGCAAAAAATGCCACAAAGAGCACACTCGCGCGTTCATGTCAGAATCCTACCGAACACCGTGTGTTTGCAAGCATTTCAACATAAAAACATCAAAAACCCAATGCTTTTTCACAAAAATGCTTTGGGGTGTCCTGTCAGACCGTCGGGCTTCCTCCGGCCACCTCTGGCTTCCTGCGGTGTACCGGGCCATTCTCGACTCGTCTGGCAATGCGTGCGCGGCATTCAACACGCGCTCGCCAGTTCCCGTCGGCAACCGCCATCGCGGCCGCATCAGCTGTACCAAACCGGCTGGCCGGTGTGACTTCGGCCCCCAGTTGTGCCAGCTTTGCTTCTTTTGTTGTGGGAGGGCGGGTGGGACTGGGCATGCCATGCTTGACTCGCTCGAGCTGGCTAGCTTGACTCTTACTCTTACTCTCACTCTCTCTCTCTCTCTCTCTCTCTCTCTCCTCCCCCCCTCCCTCTCCCTCTCCGTCCCTGTCTCTCTCTCGCTCTCTCTCTCTCTCTCTCTCTCTCTCTCCTCTCGGTCGTGAAGAAGGGTGCACAGTGATTCGCTGTGTGGAGGTTGCGCTTCGATCCTCTTCTGTGGGAGCCTACACATCTATCCCCTTTGCGGCGGATTTCAGATCGATTCCCTTGGCCGGGGGTTACACATCGCTTCCCTTTGTGACTGGGGGGTTCTGGCCCCGGGGGGAAAGGTCTCAGCAAAAAACGCCCCTCTGAATCCACTGGCCCCCTTTTTTGTTGTTGACCCAGGTCAGTGGGTCCAGGAGGAGAGTTTGTGTCTGGGGCCTGTCCCCCAGGGCCCAGGGCCCAGCCCCCTGTCCGAATAGGCAGCGTCAGTGGCGCAGGCCTCGTGTGGCAAACCCAGTGGGTTCGTTATTAAGGGTTCTTTAACAAGGACCCTGCAGTCAGAGATTCTTGCGCACGCGTTCCTTGCGAATGTTTTTTTGTCTAAGTCCGTGTTTACGGCATCCTTGACGAGGGTTCCTTCGTAAAAGGGGCCCTTATCCAGGAGCTCATTGACAATAACCCTGGTTAACGATTCCTGGACGAGAACTCCTCACGGTGGATTTCTTATTAAGGATTCTAAACTTCGGTTTTACTTATCGTTGATTCTTCTGCACTGATTCTTTATTGAGGGATCCTTAGTCACGATTCGCTATCAATGAATCCGTATTCAGGGTTCCCTAGTCAGGGAACCTGATTCAAGGCCCTTTATTCAGGACTCCGCCAACAAGGAATCCTCAGTGAGGAATTGCTTAAGAAGGATTTCGTGTCAAGGGTTTCTTTTTTATAATCCCGTATTAAGAAGGGTTCCTTACGACGCATTTCCCATTCAGGATTCCTCGCCAATTTGTTCTAGCCAGGATATGTAATTCAGGATTCCTTACTCAGGATCCCTTAACACGGATTTGTTTGCGAAGGATACTTTGCTAGGCATGCCTCATTACGGATACTTTACGAAGGATCCATTCGTAATGACACCTTTGTAGGGGATTTTTTCTTGCTCTAAGGACTACCAAGTAAGGATTCCTGAATAAGGCTCCTCTTGATTGAGAATTCCGCATGAGGGGTTCCATACGAAGGACCTCCCATTCAGGGTTTTTGACCAAGAACCCCTTACTGAGGATTCCCTACTAAGAAATCCATACGAAAGATTCCTTAGTAAAGGCACCTCAGTAAGGGTTTCTGGTTAGGGATCCCTTGTGTCAGATTCTCCATTCAGGGTTCCTTAATAAGGATGTATTGCTAAAGGGTTCATTAACCCGGATTCCTTGTCAAAGACTCCGCACGACGGATTGTTTAGCACGGATCCGTTACGAAGGATACTTGTTAGGAATCCGTGATTATGGCATCCGGAACAAAGGATTTTTTTCCGAATGGTTCTTTATTCGGAAGTCCATAGTAATGACCCCATCCACTCAGGATGTCTGAGCATGGAGTCTTTATCAAGAACCCCGATTGCGAACTCCGTTTCGTTCCAAAGTCCAAACGAATCCGCTCCGGGACCCGATATCGTCCACGCAATATTATCCCCAGTGACGCTCATTTTGCTGATAGTTGTTTGAATTTTATCTGACATAACGTTTTAATGAATGCATGAGTGATAAAATGAGTGAATCGGGAACCCCCGCGTAGGATTCCTTACAGACGATCCCCAGTTTATTTTTTTTACGCAGGGCTTGGATTCTTTAGTAAGAGTTCCCTAGTAAGGAAACCTTGTCCACGGTGCGTTGCGAAAGACTTCTTATATACATAGGATTTCTGCCTGATGACTCCTCACTGATGAGTTGTTATTCAGGGTTCCTCACTGATGGGTTGTCACTGCTGGGTCGTTCTTCACGAAGGATTCCCCACTTATGGTTCATGCTTTCAAAATCGTATGAAAGATTCCCCACGAAGGAGCCCTTACTCTAAGGAGGTGCTATTCGGGAATCAGTCGTAAGGGTCTCTCAATCAGGATTCGTTCTGAACGATCCCTTACTCAAGATCTGTCAAGAAGGAGTCTGGTCGAAGGATACATTCGTACATATTCTTTAGCACGGATGCCGTATTTGGGATCCCCTAGGAAGGACCCCTTAGTACAGGTTCATTATGAGGGATCCGTCGACTAATATTTCTTACTGGGCATTCCCCAACAAGCATTCCCCATTAAGGGTTCAGTACTGCGCATTTACTATTACGTTTCTGTCTTGAGGATTCTCCAGTACGGAAGCCTTGTAAAAAAGGTTCACGATTAAGGACTCCCGCATCCGGATTCCTCCTTGAGGGCTCCTTTTTCTAGAGACTGCTTACTACATGTTCCTTGCTAAGGGTGCCTTTCCAAGTAGTTCAGATGATGAGCTTGACAAGAGAAGCAAGGGCACCGATATGCGCGCGCGCGCGTCCCTGGGCCCTTCTACCTGCGTCCCATTTCTCCCGGAGGGTGTTGTTCACTGGTTCAGGCCGGTGCTCAAGCACTGGCAGAACGGGTGCGCACGTGTGGGATGGTGACTCTGCACCTGAGACAACAGGATAATACAGGGACCGTGAACACGGGACGATGAAACAAGTGCAGCATCTTCGCATTGTTGCTCATTATTATTTCGCTTCGTCTCTCTGCTACTCTTCGAGATGCTGCAGGGGGCCGGACGGGGCTGGGACGAGGATACATCCGTTCCAGAGCGTTCCGGAACGCTCTAAGCGCTCCAGAAAGCTCTGAGAAGGCCGCGGTGCCCGAGACATCCTCCAGAGCTACAGTCGGGGCTCCGAAGAAGGAACCCTTTTGGTTGGGGAGGGGCTCCGCGTTCCTTACGTGTGTCACAGCTTGCCTCAGGCTTCCCTTATGTTTTCGATAGGACATCGAAGTTTAACTGATGGGAAAAGGGGGCCTCGTTCCTTATTTGGGGTTTCTTAGGTCAACGCCCCGACTGTACCTGAGCGACGAAAGAAAACGGGGTCGTCTGCGCCGACATTCGCGCGTAAACTCCCCGCGTAAGGCCGCGCGCAAGCGCCCTCCTTGCCAACGTAGCGCGCCGGGCCAGCGGCCTGCGCACGCCGCCGCGCAAGGTCGGTGCGTCATCTCGCGCGAGACCCGTTTTGGATCGTCGCTCGCATGATCTCAGAGGTTCTCGACTTACCCTCACACGGTTTGATCCTCGTCCTGGCTTCGTCTGAGGGGGGGGGGCGGCGGCGGCGCCAGTCCAAGCTGAACCTGGGCGGCGCCGCGCCCCGCGCCGACGGCCCGCGCGCCGCCCTGGCGGAGTGGTTCGCGGAGGCGCGGGGGCGGCGAGCTAGCCTGATGTCGGGCCTGTCCCCCTGCAGGGGGATTTTCGACGGAAAACTAAAAATACCCTCCAAATAGTAAAAAGATATATTCAAAAAATGGTCTGGGGACTATTTTGGGGGTATTTTTCGACCTGTTTGGGGTGTTTTTCTATTTTTCTTCGAAAATCCCTCTGTAGGGGGACACGCCCGACTTAAGGCCAGGCCCACCGGCTGGGCCGAGGTGTCCGAGGTGCGATTCGACTCCGGGTTCTGGGGCGGCTTCCGGGCAGGCGCGCGCAGAAGGGGGCAGGGGTCGGGGAACCGTGAGAGTCGAGTATCCTCCTCCTCCTCCTCGTCCTCCTCCTCCTCGTCCTGCTCCTCCTCATCCCCCGCTTCCTCCTCCATCTCTTCCTCCTCTTCTTCCTCCACCTCCTCCTCCTCCTCCTCCTCCTCCTCCTCCTCCTCCTCCTCCTCCCGGGACTCGGGTGTGCCGACGTCTTTCTTGGCGAGCGCGTCCGAGACTCCAGGGCGGAGGCGGGGCATGCACGCGCAGGGGGGGGGGGCAGGCGATCGCACGCACGGATCCAGGGCGCGTGGACTGGCGACGGGTCCCGCCTCCACGGGAAGTCCACGCCAGGTCCCGGTCCGCCTCCTCCTCCTCCTCCTCCTCCGCCTCCTCCTGCTCCTCCTCCTCCCCCTCCGTCCTCGTCCTCCTTCTCCTCCTCCTCCTCCTCCTCCTCCTCCTCCTCCTCTTCGTCCTCTTCCTCCTCCTCCTCCTCTTCCAAGGTATCCGCTGCCCAGGCCCCAGGCGTCAAGCTCCCGAGCCTCTCCTGGCCTCCCGCCCCGCGAAGCAGGCGATCGCAGACCGGGATTCCTGGGGCGTGGAGCGGCGGCGGGTCCCGCCTCCACGGGAAGTCGAGGCGTTCCGCCGCCGAGCGGGGCGGCGCCGGCCTCATTTTGGGGAGGGCGCCTCCCCGGATCCATTAGGGGGCCACATGCGAACCCCTATCCATGGATTTGGCGACCGCGCGCCGAGTCCATCGAGCGCGCCAGATCCATGTCTGCGCGCCCGCCGAGGGGGGCAAGGGGGGAAGGCCATCTTCGAAGCACCCCGCTTCTTCGAAGTCGCGGGCCTTGCCTGTGGATGTAGGGCCAGCGCCTTCTGAGGAGCGGTCTCCTGCTACGAAGGCTCCCCCCCTCCCCCTACTCCTCTCTGTGTGCGCCGCCCATCCTGGCGCCGAGGTGTTTCCCCCTTGAGCCGGGGGGCGGGCAGGGCTCATTTCGACTTCTCCGATCCGCTTTGACTCGATTTCGATAGCTTCCGATGCCGGTTCGATTCGACATCGGGTGCCGATTCGGAGCCCGATGTCTCAATGGAGGCAGGATGCTTTTTCTTGCATGTGTTCTTCTCACAAAGGGTATGGGCTCTGGGCTCTTTTTTAGTTGGTAAACCAAGTGCCCAGCCTCTAATTGCGTAGGGCCAGCGAATTTATTTTGCCATAAATATCGAGGTCGCGTAGGGCTGGCGAATTAAAACGTTCCCGAGCGAAACGCCGGTTTTTGAAATTCCGATCGATGGTGAAGTACACATGTTTGTTTGTTACGGATGTCTCCTGGGGACCATAACTCAGAGGATCTCTCAGGTGAAATGCTTGTCCTAACGTGCCCAGATCTTCTGGATGTCTCGAGCGAGATGCTTGGCCTCACGCGTCCAGGTTGCCCAGTCAGATGTCCAGCATGAGGATTTGTTGAGGATGTCTCGAGCGAAACGCTTGCTTTCACGCGCCCAGGTCGCCCAGGCAGTTGTCTAGCATGAGGATTTGTAGATGACGCTTGTTCCGTTCTGGCGCGAAAGGGACCCATGTGTTTTCACGCTTGTTCCGCTCTGGGCCGAAAGGGACCCGTGGGTCCTCACGTGGGGTGGAACATCCAACACGCGGTCGTCTTGCTCCCAAGAGTGGGGGGGGTCACCGGAACCAGCATAAATTAACGAGTCGACTCCAGATGTATAACATCTTGACGCGTTCCGTCCTGGGGCCCTGGAGAGGCTTTCTGCGGCCTCCTGGGGAGGCCTCCCGCTGCGAAAGGGGCCCACGTGTCTTCACGCATCCTCCGCTCCAGGGCGAAAGAGCCCCGCGTGCTTCCGCGCCTGTTCCGCTCTGGGACGACAGTGACCCGCGTGCTCCCACGTGCGTTCCGCTCCGGCGCGCACGGGCCCCCGTGCCTTCACGCCTGTTCCGCTGTGGCGTGCAAGGGACCCGCGTGTCTTCGCGCTTGCTCCGCCCTGGATGCGGGACGGGAAAATGACCACAGCCACTGCTTTGTTTCTGCTGGCTGGAAGGCGGCAACAAAAGAAATGCAGTGGCTGTGGTCGTTTTCCCGTCCCGTACTGGAGCGAACAGGACCGACGTGTGTCAACGCTCGTGCCGTTCCGGGGCGAAGGGAACACACAGTGCTTTCACGCCTGTCCCGCTCCGTCGCGAAAGGGACCGATGTGTGTGTTCAGACTCGTCCCGCCCTGGAGCGCAAGAGACCCACTTGTGTCCACGCTTGTTCCGCTCCGGCGCGAAAGGGACCCACGTGTTTTCAAGCTTGTTCCGCTCTTGCGCGAAAGGGACACATGTGTTTTCAAGCTTGTTCCGCTCTGGCGCGAGAAGGATACATGTGTTTTCACACTTGTTCCGCTCTGGGGCGAAGGGGACCCACTTGCTTTCACGCTTTCTCCGCTCTGGCGCGAAAGGGGCCCACGAGCTTTCTTGCTTCTTCTGCTTCGGGGCGAAAACATCAGACATGTTTTCACGCTTGTTCCGCTCAGCGGCGAAAGTGACTTGCGTGTTTCACGCTTGTTCCGCCCTGGCGCGCAAGGGACCCACGTGTGTTCACGCTTGTTCCGCTCTGGCGCGAAAGGGACCCACGTGTGTGCACGCTTGTTCCGCTCTGGGGCGAAGGGGACCCACTTGCTTTCACGCTTTCTCCGCTCTGGCGCGAAAGGGGCCCACGAGCTTTCTCGCCTGTTCCGCTCCAGGGCGAAAGAACCCCACGTGCATTCACGCTTGTTCCGCTCAGGGGCGAAAGGGACCTGCGTGTGTTCACGCTTGTTCCGCCCTGGCGCGAAAGGGACCCATGTGTTTTCACGCTTGTTCCGCTCTGGCGCGACAGGAGCCCACGTGTTTTCACGCTTGATCCGCTCTTGGGCGAATGTTTTTACTGTCCGGGCCGCCCAGGGGGTATATCTCACATGTGGTCGTCTGGCCCCAAAGAAGTGGGGGGAACCAGTAGCCGAAACAAACACGAATCGACACCAAATGTGGAATAACTTGACACGTTCCGTCTTGGGGCCCTGTGGCGGCCTTCTGGGAGGCCTCCTGCGGCGAAAGGGACCTACGTGCTATCGCGCTTTGTCCGCTCCCGGGCGAAACGAACTCACGTGTTTTCACGCTTGTCCCGCCCTGGCGCGAAAGGGGCCCGCGTGTTTTCACGCTTGTTCCGCTCAGGGGCGAAAGGGACATATGAATTGTCATGCTTTTTCCGCTCTGGCGCGAAAGGGACCTGCGTGTTTCACGCTTGTTCCGCCCTGGGGCGCAAGGGACCACGTGCTTTCACGTGTGTTCCGCTCTGGGTCGAAAGGGACCCACGTGTTTTCACGCCTGTTGCATGACGCCCGGGCGGATCTCTAACACGAGGATATAGTGAGGATGTCTCGAGCGGGACTTTGATTTTCAGGTGTCGGGGTCGCCCAGGCGAATGTCAAAATGAGAATGTGTTGGGGATGTCTAGAGCGAAACGCTCGTTCTGCAGGACTTGTTGAGGCTGCCTCGAGCGAGGGCCTCGCCCTCCAGCCAACGCCTGCCTCTGCAGGATGTGTTGGGGATGCCTCTTGCGAAGCGCTGGTTTTGCATTGTTTGAGGAGGTGTCGTGCGGGGGCTTTGTCCTCGTCTGGGTGCTTCAACGCAGGCCTCACTGGCCGGTCGGCTTCCGCCGATTCGACTTCTGCCGACTTGGCATCCGAGATCCGCCGATCCTGATCGACCACCACCACCAGAAGTTGGAGGGGGAGGGGGTCCTCCTCCTCTCCTCCTCCTCCTCCTCCTCCTCCTCCTCCTTCTTTCCTCCTCCTCCTCCTCCTCCTCCTCCTCCTCCTCCACGTCCTCCTCCTCATCCTCCTCTTCGTCGTCGTCGTCGTCGTCCTCCTCCTCCTCCTTCCCCCCTCCAACTTGGGATGGTGGTGGCGGTGCTGGAAAACGGGCCCCGTTCCGATGCGCTTCGATCGCCGCTCCGACCGATCGATCCGATCCTGGGCTCTCCTGGCGGGCACCGCCGCGCCTCGCGCCTCGCGGCCTGGGCCGGCGGAGCTGCCCCTCCTCCAGGGGAGGGCGGCGCGAGGAGCGCCGAGGCAGTCTCGCCCCGCGTCCCTGCGCGGCGCGAGAGCGCCGACGCTGGGGCGACCTGGCCCCCTGGGAAGCCCTGCATGGGAGCTGCGCTTCCCGGAAGCTGCCCAGGAGGAGGAGGAGGAGGAGGAGGAGGAGGAGGAGAGGAGGGAGGAGGAGAGGAGGAGGAGGAGGAGGAGGAGGGAGGAGGAGGAGGAGGAGGGAGGAGGAGAGGAGGGAGGAGGAGGAGGAGGAGGAGGAGGGAGGGGAGGAGAGGGGTAGGGGAAGGAGGGGTAGGGGCAGGAGGAGGAGAGGAGGAGGAGAGGAGAGGAGGAGGAGGAGAAGGGCTTCGCAAGCGCTTGCGGAACACTTAGGTGCCGGGAGCGAGTGGGAAACCGCTTCCGGAACACGCCGCGAGCTCCAGCAGGCCATTGCGAGGCTGCCTGCCCCCCTCCCCCCTCGGCTCCCCGAGGCAGGACCGCCCCTCCTCCTCCGTCTCCTCCCTCCCTCCTGCCTCATCCCTGTCACCTCCCTCGATCCCTTCTTCCCCTCCCCCCCACCTTCTTTTCCTCCTCCTCCTCCTCCTCCTTTTCCTTCTCCTCCTCCTCCTCCTCCTCCTCCTCCTCCTCCTCCTCCTCCTCCTCTTCCTCGAAGCAGAGTGCTTTTCGAGGCCGACGCCGACCGCGACGGTCTGCTCACCGCGGCCGAGTTCGGCGCCTGGGCGGGGGCGCCTTCCACTGCCGGCGCCGCGCTGGGTGTGGCGCCGGCCGTGACGGCGGAGCTGGACCGAGGCCCCGCGCGGCAGTCGGACGATGGGAGTCGCTCGGCCACGCGCAGAGGGGAATGGGACTGCGACTGCGACTGCGACCCGCATTGCGCACCCTGTAGGTGCCGCGGGTTGGGACCGAAGCACCCATTACAGATTAGATCGCCTGACAGAAATCTTGCTCTAGATCGTGCCATACATCTCGCGTGGCACACCTCAGGAGTAGATGACAGTAACCGCATGCCGATGATAATAAAGGGACCCCCCCTTCAGTGTTTAGAGTTGATTATCGTCGCCCTATACAAAATTCAAATTGGGCGGCGAGCGCTGAGGCCGAACTTCATTATCACCTCGAAACGCTATGTTGAGATAGCAACATCAAGCGATGTTGATATAGCAACATCAAGCGAGCGTTTGTAAATTAAAATTGATAGATTTGGAACCTGCCATTTTTCCGTTCTTCTTCTCTTCTTCTTCTTCTCTTCTTCTTCTCTTCTTATTATTATTCTACTTTCCTCTTCTTGTTTTATATTTCTATCTGTCCTCACGCTCGCCTGAACTTTTTATCCCTGGGGTTGATTATCCATGGAAAATGAAGCACATGAGCTACCCTACACGAGCACTTAAAAAGTCAATTTTCATAAAGCGTTTGTAAATTAAAATTGATAGATTTGGAACTTTGGATTTTTCCTTTCTTCGTCCTCTTCTTATTCTCCTCTTCTTCTTCTTTCTTATTATTATTCTACTGTATTCTTTTTCTTTTATATTTCTCTCTGTCCCCACGCTCGCCTGAACTTTGTTTATCTCTGGGGTTGATTATCCGTGGAAATTGAGGCACATGGGCTACCCTACACGAGCACTTACAAAAAACCATTTTTATAAAGCGTTTGTAACTAAAATCTAATAAATTTGAAACTCGAGATTTGTTCTTCTTTTCCTCCTTCTCCTCCTCCTATCATTTCTTTTGTTTTATTATTTATTCTTTTTTATTTTTCTTTTTTTATAAATAGCTTCCTCCATTCCTCCGCCCGCCTGAACTTTATTATCGCCGCCGTTGATTATCTAGGGACAATAAGGCATAGTTTGAGGATGTCTCAAGCGCAGCACGCAATTGTTTCGAGCATGTCTCAAGCAATAGTTCGAGGATGTCTCCCGCAAAAAAAGCAGTAGTTTGAGGATGTCTCACGCGAAACACCATTAGTTCGAGGATGTCTCAAGCGAAATAAGCAAGTTGGTTTGAGGGTGTCTCAAGCGAAATATGCAATAAGCGATAGTTTGCGGATGTCTCAAGCGAAACAAGGGATTTGTCGAGGATGTCTCCAGCGAGATAAGCCATTGTTGAGGATATTTCTATGAAAACTAAACGCCAGGGATGTCTCAAAACGTGCTCGGCTTGGTCTCCTCTTGATCATCTCTTACTTCGAGATTATGCTGAGGTCTGCTGGGCTACTTTTTTATCTCTCCCTGAACCCCGAACTTTATTATCCCCTAGTGTTTATTCTCACGGGCATGAGGTTACCTCAGCAGAGGGGAATGGGGGGAGGGGGGAAGGCTTCTTAGAAGCACCCCGCTTCTGAGAAGGCGCGGGCCTTGGCTGTAGATGTAGGGCCGGCGCCTTCTAAGAGGCAGCCTCCTTCTGAGAAGCCTTCCCCCCTCCCCCTACCCCCTTGTGCGTGCCGCCAAGAAGGAGTTGCAGGGAGCCGGCTGGGGTTCCGAGGTAGCCCAGCGCTGGTTCCAGCGAGCAGGGACGGGGGGCGTGACGGCGAGGCTCGAGGTTCCGGGTTCGAGGAGCTTTTCTGCTTTCGTCGGTTTCCGGGGATCGTTCCCAGGCCCTCCTCCTCCTCCTCCTTCTCCTCCTCCTCGTCTTCCTCCTCGTCCTCCTCCTCGTCTTCCTCCTCCTTCTCCTTTTCCTCCTCCTCCTCCTCCTCCTCCTCCTCTTCCTCCCTGGCACTGTCAAAGACGGCTCCGGAGTGAACAATCGCACCAGATGGACCCCGGGAGGTGTCTTTGGACACATTTGGAGCGGCCGTGCTCTTCATTATCCCCCTTTCTCGACCGAGCAGCCACTTTTTGGGGAAACGAAGACTCGAGTAAGCCAGAACTTGGGTATTCCTACGTTTTTTTACGAGCGCGTCCTGGATTTTGACGGTCCAGTTTTCGGGGGATGTTTGCAGGCGGAGCTCGCGTCACATTTCAGATTGGGTTTCGTTATTTTAATGAGGGACCCGTCGGGCCAATCCGAGTCCCACGTGCCCGAATCTTGCGTCTCCCCGATTTTTGCGGTGCTTGGCCTGGAGGGCATGCCCCAAGAAGAGGCCCTGCAGCTGCTCGCCGACGGCCTCCTCGCATCGCGCCTTGGGGTCGCCATTCGGCGGCTCTCCTCGAAGTTCCACGCCGACAGGCGTGGGGGAGGTCGCGGTCTTCCCCGCCCTGGGGAATGCGCGGGACGAGCTGACGCCGTCCAGCTCCGTCGAACTTGTCTCCGAACAGGTGCTTGCTCGAGTCGCCGTCGCTTCGGCCCCGCACCCGCCCGTCGTAAGGCGGCATGCGCCTCTGCAAGCTGACGGCGGCCCCAGGCCGAGCGTGCGCCTTTACCTGTGTTGGCGCAATGCCAAGCCGAGTCCTGTCCAGTGGCTTGTTGTACAACACGCGTGGCTGCTCTGCGAAACGCGCAGCTAGCCGCCCAGAAGAAGCCAAGCCAGGTGTGATAGAACCGACGCACCATGCCCAGTCGGAGGCGGAAGCTGCGGGGAATTTCGGCGAGCTCGGTCGCTGTCGGTCGTCGCCCCAGGTAATGTAGCCCAACAATGTGGTCCTGAGCGAAGGTGGGCAGCGTGAACCTGCCCTGGAGGGTCTGTGGCGGAACGGTGACGGCTTTTGTGGCGCCGCACACCTGGTCGGCGGCAGCATTGTAGTAAGGCATGGTGCGAGGGCCCGTCTCGTCTTGCAAACCGCAATCGCAGTGCCCGCGAGCAAAAGAATTCTCCCTCCGACGCCCCGTCCAACGCCCGTGCCACGCACGCGCGCGCGAAGTGGGTAGCTGGACTCGCGGGACCCGTAACACTCGTCGTCCGCGCGTTCGCTGGTCCATTGGGTTAAGGGAGCGCTGGGAGATCCAGCGGCTACGTGGCTGACGGCCACTGTCGGGCATCTTGGGCGGGAAGGCTCGCTCAGCCGCTCTCAGGATGTGAGCAGTCAAATGCTCGGCATGGTCGTCAGGATTAGTTGAGAAGAGAGGTTGAGGTACCCTACGCAGTTTTTCTGCAAACGTCTGCTGACAAACGGGCTTGCCATATTTCGTAACATCGCGTCGGGACCTGACCCGAGTGACGGCTGGCCCGTACTGTTTTGCATGGCGCGCTCACACGTCAGCAGAAACCACCGAATGATCGTCACATCTCATCGATAGGTCGAGGTTGATCTGTACCCTTTTTTTGTAACGCTTGAAAGCTGGCCCGTGGGAGCTGTTTGTTTCGATGTCTGTTCATGGGAGCCTTGGGCGGCGACATTGAAATCAGCTTTTCCAGCATTTGGACCGCACTGGGGCCGCATTTGGTTCCTCCTCCTGCTCCTCCTCGTACTTCCTGTTTCTCCTTCTCCTCCTCCTCATCCTCCTCCTCCGCCTCGTTCTTGTCGTCTCCCTTTTTGTGAAGGGGCGAATCTCGTCCAATTATGGTCCTAATGTGGTCCAAATCAGGCCCAAATCGGACAGCGCCAGGGGCCACGCAGGCTCCCATGAAACGGACACCAAAGTTTGTATTCGATCCTGCGCCTGGGGTCCTGACCCCGACCCCTTGGGGGTAACCGGGTTCCGTGAATTCCAGAAAAGGACGGCAGACGCGTAGAAATTGCACATTGCCCCGTGGTCCAACAGAACTGATGGAAGCACTGCCTGCCCTCGTTTTCAACCTCGGGCGCCACGCCACCCACGTGTTCTGACTCCTGCGACCCTCGGGTCGCGTTTGCATCCAATAGGCAGTGCAGCGGCGCTGGCTGTGCTCGGCTGCTGACGTGCGATACCATACTACTCCACCAGCTCTGCATTTCTGCAAGCGGCCGGCGGGAGTGAGGAGCATGTCCAACCAGCACACCAATACACATGCACGGCGCGCGTATTGCTGCTAGAAGATGTCGAGTCGAGTATATAGTTGAGCATATATACATGTCTGCGTGCCAGCGTGCGGCCGCGCGCGTGTTCATGCTGCGCATTAATCCGGAGGGCTGCACCATTTTTGCCACTGGATTCTGCGGCTGCGGTGAGAGCTATACATCGCCTTGTGGTGTCCACCCATTGCGACGCAGCCGAGTCGCCGGAGTGCCGACTCGATGGAAATGGCGAGCAGAAAATGGATGAGCAAGCGTTAGCATGCGGCCTTGCGAATTGAAGACGGCCGCATCCTGATATCGGCATCGAATCCTGGTACCATGCCCTCTCGCAGCCTTCCCTTGGGGCCGCAGTGTGAGCGCATTCGCCGCTGCACCGCTGGCCTGAGGCGGCATACCTGACGTTGGATATTCGTGGCACGCACAGGTTTTCCGAGCCGCGGCCAGCTGGTGGCGAGAACGCCTTGCGTAGGTCCAGCCATCGCGGGTAGGTGTCGGACATTTCGTTCGCACCCATTTTCGGATGTTCCCCGAGACTGTCGCTGGACTGCGCAGGCATCCATAACCACGGCACATCAGCAGCGGCGTCAAGCATTATTGACCACGGTTGAAAGTCATAATCTGCGGTTGGGGCTATGCCCATAGATGCAAGGCGTGCCATGGTATCTGCAAGCTCGTTGAGAGGACCAACATTGTGTCCCAACACGTGTCTCCAGGTCAGCAGCGTAAGCCGTCGTAGTAATTTCAGGTTACTGTCAAACATCCAAGGCAGGTCTCCATATGACGTGCACCGCGTACCCCCTCGGCCGATGAGACCACGAGCTGGTTATCCGTAAACGCTTCGACTGGGAGATCACGAAACCTTGCAAGTGGCTTGCAGCGACCATGGAATCAGCCACAGTGCGGCTTGAAATTCAGCTG